AAAATATAATTTATGTATCCCAAAGTTTGGAATTTCTGAAAAGTTGGGATCAGGTGGGAACTTGGTGGCATTAAAGCACCAACAGACTGCAATGAAGTATTTTTCTCTGAGTACATACAATTTAAAAAAATTGGTGTCAATAAATAAGTTTTGTGCAACTAATATTTAATAAAGCTCCTTTTGAGTGTTTTTGTTTCAATAAATCACTTTCACAGGAACTTTACAACAATTGAAAACAGACCAGCGCTCCTTTGAAGTATACTTAGCTTGATTGCAAGAGAGAGTGAGGACGTCCTTAGAAATGGGACTACAACTACAAGGCTCCTTTTAAGTTGGTCCCCGCTGTGGATTTAAACAGTTACTGTGTGGGTTTAATAAAAGACAAATGGTAAAGTAGAGGTTTACGATACAGTCACGCAGAGCTGATTCTCAGAGCTGTCTCACGAGGCTCGTAACCTGAGATAATTGCTCTCCAACGCTGTCCTCCAGCTTCCACTAATTGGGTATCTCTGTGAAAGAGTTTTTCACTGGCTCTTATTGTGTTTCTTGCTCCTAGATACAGTTCATAAAGCAACGGCCTCGCAAAAAGAAAGTCTGTGTCCTTTTCAAATTAGATTTAAATCTATTCACCCTGTGGTTAATTACTCAATTAGCCGATTACTTGAAGAATAGATGAATTGAGGTGCGCTGGCTACGAATGCCATGCTTATCATCACAGTTACTGTGATGGTGTTCAGTGGATACTGGTAATTGGTATCTTTGGTGTTATTTGTGTGTTGCATTTTGCAGGTGAATAAACTTTTGTAATATGTTCACTGAACTGGAAAGGCTTTAAGTTTATTAAAAAAAAAAAAAGAGGAAAAACTTATTAATTATTGTTTTGAACACTAGCTGTGAATTTAATTAAAAAACTTATCTGACTGTATTTGTTGAAATCTGAGGCCCTAATAACACATTTGTCCACGAACATCTCCACCAATATATATGGAACTATTTAATAGGTGTGACGTCACGCTAAACACCGTTTAAAAAGAAGATTTCAACCCCTTGAAACGAGCTGAGGAGACTGACTGTTTCTTGTATCAGGCTGTAAACTTGTTTATTTTTGTTGGTCATTTTAACATGGGAGTCTGCAAAGATTAAATCGCCTTTCAACCATAGACTGTATAAAACACTGGCGTAGCTCCCAGATTGGAACAATTAAGCCAATGTTGAATTGCCTTAAACCAGCAGTCTGTGTAAAGACCGAGTACTGTGATTGCAAAAAGACATCTAATCCTCTAGAAGTCTGTGGGAAAGCATATTTTTGCATCGACCTCACTTTCTGACCAAACTGTTTCCTAAGTCGTTTCACATAGAAAGAAACAAGTACTCTGCCTCAAGTGGCCGCTAGGAGAACTGCAGTTTTTGCCACTTGGCATAATGGAGCTTCACATTTTAAATGTGTTTTAATCACATTTTTGTTTCTGTGCAGAAATGATCCAAAAGTTAACCAACTCTTGAATCGATCTTTATGGTATCTACAAAATTGAGCAGAGGCTTTTCAATCACATTATCTGACATCCCTCAATGTTGTCTAAGCAGCTAATCTCCTGTTGCTTCTGTTCATCCTGTATCCTCGGGGAGTGAAAAGAGTATTGGATCACAGTGATAAGAAACTAATTCAGACTGAATTGGTGTGCTGGCTCATTCCTGACACAGATGTCATCCAAGAAGCCAAACCTGACGGTCGGTTTATCTCATACCTGCTGTGCTTGTTGTAAAATAACAAATCTATATGATTATAGTTTAAAGTTACGAGATAAAGTCATTGATTACTAATAAAATGTGGTATGATGTTCATCAAAGCTACAAGCTACCTCTGCTGGCGCCCTGTGGCATCTGGCGCTGAATTGTTGGCGAGTGATCCTTTGGGTTGTGTGGTTTACAAGGTTTCTAAAGAAGTTTCTCGAGAATGAATCCACAGTACTCGAAAACTATGCCTCTATCAACCAGTCAGGTTGCGTTTTACAAGCTTTCCTGCCCAGACTTATCATGAGTGTTATGGTCCTGAAACTGAGACCAAAATATGGAGTTTCATATCACACTTGAGCTGTTCCATTTCACAACAACTTTTGAGATAGTGCCTCTTATCATTTGTGTGGACACCATATGTATAAAGAATGTAACTATATGCTGCTGACAATCATGTCGTCACATTGCCTGTGCTAAAAAGCCATGTGGGGCTGTGTTGGTTAAATCATGCTTTAAAGCATAAACTGGAAATGCACCAGAATGAGGTTTGTTTTTGTTGATGATCCAGTAAATGTTATTGTGACATCTGTTTGTTTTTTGTCCTCATTTCTTTCATAGGTTCATTATTTTAAGAGGTAGGATGACTAAGTGTGGGTAAAGTATTAACCAGATCTATGATTTGAAGAATAAGTGCACTCCCTAATATATGTAGTAAAGATGAGTATGTGAGCACCAAAGATTTACGTCACCATTTCAGTGTCTGACAAATGTTGAAATGCGTCCCATCTCCCCCTCTGTTCCCATGTTGTGTTGTTGATTAATGGACTGAATAGTTTTAGCAGAACATTAAGATGTCAAATGAAGTTCCCCTTTGACCTTTACGTATAAAATCACGCTCCTTCTAGGAAGTCTTGCTACTCTGTATCTTGGTAACGCCCCCCGGAGGTTATTTTGGGCAGTTATTTATTCCACTACACAACCACTTGCGTCAGTCCAGCAATACCATTGGCTGAGTATGTTTCCCTGCTTGGCTGTCTTAAAGAAGACAATGGCTCAGGAGAGGTGGGTGATTCAGCAATGCCCATGATCCAGAGTACACAAAAAGGAGGAAAAAAAAGATTGTAAAGTCCAAACGCTGATCTTAACCCAAACTGTATGTAACTACAGGGGTCCAACAAAGAATGGCCACGCATCATACTGATGTCTTCGGAAATTTATTTCTCTCTCTCTCTCTCACTCTTATTGTCTTCAGACATGGTGAAAACTGAAGAAACACAAAGTACACAACATAAATGTTTTGAGCTATTCAGTCTCTCATATCAGTGTCCATAAACAGTCTTGTACAAGCAGAACAGAAAAATGCACAATAATGGATATCACAAAAATGTCCTCTCATTACCAGTGTAGAACACGTATGCAACATTATACAAACAATATACATGAAACCATACCGTGTGCGCCTCTTGGACCACATGCAGAATAACATTAACGCTGAGGCTGTAGATGCATCTGTAGCCACGTATCCATGCTAGCTCCACAATGCCGTGATTGTGCTCTCAACCAAACTCTGGTCATGTGACAATTACAAACTTTACCTCATACAAACTTTACAGCACTTTACATATTTAACAAACCCATATTTTGTAATCACATATTTTAGACATGTTTTTTAATTAATGTTACACTTTTATCATCTTATCTTGTAAATAAATGAACTAAATTAAGCATGAATCTATCACAGAAACATGAAATAACCAATTTTATTTTAACTGTCTCAGGGACAGTTACACTGTAAACCTCTGGCATGTCCACCTAAAATTATGATGATCTGAAACAGGTTTTGAAGTGGTCTCAAAAGCAGATACAGGAAGGGTTTGATGGATTGTTGCAGGATTACTAAATTAAAGAGTCCAGTCTTTGTGTGGTCTGATCCAGAAATCCTGGTTAATCCAAAAGCTCATAACTTTTTTGTAAGTGATAGAGTGACCAGATAGCACCGAAGCCACGTACTTTGTAATTGTCTTTTAATATTTGTCGTGACAAAGCCAGGTTTTTAGTCGCATCAACAGGGGAAACTTAGAAATGAACACAGCTGGAAGCTTTGTGGTGGTTTAAGTTCAGTCAAATGCTAGTTTATTTGTTCAAATTAAGTCTCGCAAGCCAGCTGAAACACCTGAAGGTTATAAAGAGATTGAAAGAGGATGGGATGGAAAAGCAAGGCGTGGAAAGGGACACTCAGTTCTTGTGATTCCAAAGTATTACAGCATGTTAGAAGGAAGATGGCAGATGCACTGTTAACAATTTTTGCAGGCTTTGATTAAAAATCTCTTTTTAGGAAAAGCTTGTTTGGATTATTTCTTATTTACCTTACTTTGTGCAATGGGATAAACGCTATGTGCAGAGTTATTAGGCAAGTCATAATTCCCATGATTCACTTTATTGTGTAATACTCTCAATCCAAACTCAAAGTTTAACAATATGAAAGTGAGTTTTGTTATCTTTAGGAGGAATATAATTATGCATATTATCTGGACATAATAAATTACAGAGAAGATTTTTTTCCAAACTCTCATCCTTATTCTCAATTTTATACAGCGTGTGTATATAAAACCGATGACGTGGTATGTTGGTTTCTTGAACCATTTGGAAGCAGCTCGGCCTCCGAAATGTGTCCAAAGATCCTCATTTGGTCATTTTTGAGGCTTCTGCTGGCCAAACAGTGGGCTGCTTGAAAAACGAAAGGGAGAAAAATCTAAATGTGACCATTTTCATCACTGTGGACATGTTGTCAGCAGTAGTTTCTCCCTGTTCATTTTCCACAACACCTCTGAAATGTTCTTGGCCCATCAGCCTGTAAACAGTTGCCATGTTTCAGTAGTCTTTACCTTGGCATTTTGGCATTTAGTAGAGCTGAGGGACAACCAACAGAGTCAACAAAGTGCTCTGCAAAGCTGGTAATGGTGTGGGTGTGGAGCTCGACTCTCTGACAGCGGTTTCAGAAAGGATGCAATCCAAGTTGCAGTCAATACTGAACAACCGTTCACGCCCTCTCCATCGTCCACTACATCTTGTGCTGATCAGCCACAGGAGCGTGTTCAGCAAAACACTCATTCTCACACGATGCACCGCAAAACACCACTTGTATTGTGTGTGTTTGTATTGTGTGTGTGTAACTTTTCACACTAAGAACTTTAGTTTTACTTCTTCTTTTTTACATAGTTTACATTTTTATCGTTCATATTTTCTTTTTTCTGACCTTTTTCCAGTTTGCGGAGACATCCACGGGCAGTTCTTTGACCTGATGAAGCTGTTTGAAGTAGGAGGCTCACCAGCATCCACGCGCTACCTTTTCCTGGGGGACTACGTTGACAGAGGGTATTTCAGTATTGAAGTGAGTCTGTATATTTGTTTTTGTCCTCACCAGGGCCTAATCAAGTGTGACACACGCCATGTGTTCGGCTGAAGCTGTGTTTATTAATAGCTTTCTCTCAGCGTAGATCAAATCAGGCTGCAGATATTGTAGTGGTAATAGGCTTTTGTAATAATTTCAAATGTGCCTTGGAAAGCAAATGTCAGAGTGAGGCTTGGAGTTATATATATAGAGAGAGAGATATTTTAAAATAAAGCAATATACAGATATTTAATCTGGGAATTTGCCTATATGTGTATATGGCCTGAAATATTATTCTTTTATTAATAAAAGAATAATGTGTTGGCGTGTGCCATGAGCACAAAATGCAGAACTACTTTTATTGTACCACTCTGTAAAAGTGACACGATGTGACTCGATGGTTTTATGCTTCCAGCCTCTTAGAAATATGACAAGCTAACAGTTTCCTGCTTTCTTTTGTTCTGCTTTGTTTCAGTGTGTGCTGTACTTGTGGGCCTTGAAGATCCTTTACCCCAAAACACTGTTTTTGCTGCGTGGGAATCACGAATGTCGACATTTAACAGAGTATTTCACATTTAAGCAGGAATGTAAGTAACGCTTGTGCACTTAATGTTTAACCTTTTGATATAAAGCGAGTTAGCCTCTGAAGCTCTGCACGGGGAGGGAGCAAATTGAGTTATCCTTGCTAAAAAGCTGTTTATTATGTGTGCAGTTCAGCCACTGACCTCAAATGTTCACTTAAAAGCACACTCTGGCCCGTTACAGGATTCAGCCTTTATATTTGTACATGTCAAAACTGTTTCTGTTGGACTCGGACGAGATGGGGGGGGGAAAGCCCAACGAAACCCAACAAAAGGGAAGTTTTTGGAACTGCGGAGAGCCTTTCCGTCCGAGGCCAGTGAACTTCCCTGATGTATGAGAGCGCCGTTGTTTGACTTGGCATCCTCTGTTCTCCCTGCCCCGTTTCTCCCCATGACAGGTAGAATTAAGTATTCAGAGAGGGTGTATGACGCATGTATGGACGCCTTCGACTGCCTTCCCCTGGCTGCACTTATGAACCAGCAGTTCCTGTGTGTACACGGAGGACTATCTCCAGAAATCACAAATCTCGATGACATCAGGAAAGTATGTGTCCGATTTTTTTTTTTTTTTTTTTTCCCCCTTAATTTTAATAAAGCTACAGTCCTGTGTTTTAGCATGCCATAACAACATTGCTTGCAATGAGTGAAGTTATTCCTCCGGATCTGTGTGCAGACGTGGACACGGTGGATTGTAAGCAGCAGTCTGGTCCTACCTCTGATTAAAAAATGTTGACGAGTCAGATCCAGCTTTCAGACTAATTCAATAATTCTAAATGGATTTTGTGGCTGCAATCAGAGGGCATGCATAATAGAATTTTCTCTATTGAAGTGTCCATCATGCTACCCATCCAGTAATCCACGAGCTTTTGTTGGAGAAAGAGCTACTCTTGCCTGAAAGCAAAGCCATTTATGTTCAGCGCTCGTAAAGAACGGCTGCCAGTTTTTGCAAGTTTTTTCAGGCCTTTCCTTGAAAGATCCTTCCATGTCCTGAAAGACAAGTGGTGTCTTTTGACACGTCACCCATATTGTGTTACCTCGAATGCGATTTAAAATCCCTTCAGCAGACATGTTACTTAATTATGATCATAGCTGTAGTCGCCAGCTCGGCTATCGCAGAAGAAGCAATTTCTCCGCAGCAGTGTCAAGACTCCGTGTGTCATATTTCCATTCGAGCAGACTGACGGGAGTCTTGACTTTTTCCCTTCCACAGCTAGACAGATTCAAAGAGCCCCCTGCATACGGTCCAATGTGTGATCTGCTGTGGTCCGACCCCCTGGAGGATTTTGGGAACGAGAAGAGCCAGGAGCACTTCACGCACAACACAGTGCGAGGCTGTTCCTATTTCTACAGGTGAGTGTGTTCTGCGTTGATTCACAGTCATGTGATTTATTTATTTATTTGTTTTTAAGACATTTGTGTGTGTGTGTGTGTTTGTTTTCTTTTTGAATTCCAAGTAGCTGTCAGAAGGAAAGCAGCTTTAGTTTAGAGTTACATTCATCTGCAAGCCAACATTGTTTTTGTTGGAATCGGAATTAAAAACAAGATGTTGTTGCCGGTATTTTAGAAACTTTCGGTGCTCTTATTCCGCTTAGTAAAACTAAATAACCTGATTAGTTTTACTTTGTGGTTTTTTTTCTCTAAACAAAATATTTGAACTTGGAGGGGTGAAGGAGGGGGAAAAGAGTTAATAACTTCTCTCCTCCCATCCCACAATGCTCACGCCTCTGCAGCATCTCAGCTGTGAGACGGTTGTTAGAGCGCGCTGTGCAATTGAGAAATCACAAAGACTCCTCCCTAGACTGTCGCCAGTATTTATGTAACCCACATTACCTTCAATTGAGCTGAGTAACTGAACAAACTGAGGAAATGCTCGGAGCGAGCGGCTCGCGCTGTCACAAAATGTAATGAACTGGCACATTACCACGAGGCACAGTCCCGCTTCTAAATGCGCTCGGCACTCCCTCCACTCATTACGGCCTGAGTGATGCTTGCTTCGCCCTGGCGTGCCTCTGGCGAGCAGCAGAAGTCGTTGGAGATGTCCCCAGGCTCCTAATAAGCATTTTCTCATTTTCTTTTTTTTTTTTCCCAGGTGTTTCATAACTACTTACTTAATAGTATTTTAATGCCCATGATGCTCAGAGAACGACTGAGTCTCGATATTGCAGATCAACAAGTGGTTCTGCGTTAAAAAGAATATTTTGCCCACGCGTGTAGTCACCAAAAATGTAAGCTCTGTGGCCTTTTTGCCTCATCGACAGATCCGATCACATGTTTGTGTTGTATCAGCATCCCAGTTAACCTTCTGCCACTTCGCTCAGAATTCCTCTGGAGTCTTTCTTTCATCGTTGTCCCCTCGACTCCATCTGCCCAGGGGATTGCTGCTAATTGGCATCACATTGAGTTTCAGGATTTATGAGACGGTTTTAGCCAGACCGGGAGAGAGCCATTCCTCAATACTCCTCCCCAAACCTATCGGCTTCTTTACCCCCCCACACCATCGCCACAGGCACGCTCGTAACACTTTTACAAACGGTATTCAGGCGTGAAATTGCACATGTTTGAGATACGGCTGCTTTTTACAAACGCCTCCACTCGGTAGTGCGTATGAATAAGCCTGTAGTGGATGTTTAAAAAAGCAAAAAACATCTGTAATCAGTTCATATAAACAACTTTAAAGCTTTAATTTTAACCCGAGTTCCTCTTGGATCGCACATGGCGAAGTAATTTCTTGTACATCTCTTCTTGTTGTCCAAGGAGCACATTAACATCTGTGCCCCGTTGTTGGACAGATGGGAGATGATCTAATCTCAGAACGCAAACTGCCAAAAGACAAATTAGGCCAAAATGTGTCTCGACTACCAAACAGCAGCATATGGCACGTATCTACATCTGCTGGAGGAAATCAAGTGAGAAATCAAACATTTATTTCTAATTTCTCGTCCCTTGTAAAGAAAAACAAACTCATTGCTTCGTTAATTCCTTCATGGCATCTGCTCTCTCCTTTCACACAACTCCCAGCAGAACGCACGGGTTCTTGTGTCTACATGCGCCGCGATTGTTGATAGATTTCTCCTAATGCCTTCACTTTTAATAATTAATCTCTGCAGCGAGCGTGGAGCAAGACATCCAAAAAAACAGCCAGTCAGATTAACGCTTGCTTGTATAAATTTGCTTGATAATGACCGTGTCCCAGAAGGACTGTACAATAGGAAATGCAAATGTAAAGCTGCAAAACGCTTCTCTGCGGATCACACTTGAACAGAACTCCACAACAGCTTATCAGAGCCATTATGAAACCTCAGCGGTGCTTTGCGTTGATTATAGAGAAGTCTAAAAAGCTATTTTAAAATCAGCAGGTTTCGTCGTGCAGCAGTTGCTGAGGAAAATGTCTCGTTTGGTTTTGATTGCAGCGTGTGGGTGGTGTTCATTGTCGGGCAGAGGTGTCGAGCTAGGATTACAGAACCTAGTTTAAAATCCAGCCTGTATTTTATTCAAGAACTTAATATTACTTCAGTGAATCAAAGAGATTTGAGCATTCAGGGGTGTTCATTTCTTGGTGCACTTTTGTGTTTTTAACTTCTGGGTTGAATAAAAAGCGAGAAAAACTAATTGGGGTGTAGAGACAGGGCCCAGAGAGATGGGGATTTGAAGCAGACTGACAAAAAGCATTTCTAAGTAACCGAATTGTAGCAGTGATTTTAAAAAAATTGAGAAGGATGTTGTAACCCAGAGTAGAAGAAGAAGCGGGCAGCTGTTGCGCAGCGCCTGGGGACCAGCTCCAGATGTAAGCCTCGGTCAAGGGCGCGACGACAGAACATCCAGCCTAGTTTTTGATGGCAGGGGAAGCTGGAGCTCCACACAAAAGGGCCCTGTCCTTTTAACATCACGAATGATATTTCAAATGCTCTCATTTAATTAACTTCTGCGGCTCGCACAGGGCTGTAAAGTGGCTTGAAATTTCATCTGCATAGCCGCAAGATGCCAGGGGAGGAGAGGAAAAAAGAGAAACCTCTTGAATTTCGCCCCTGTTACTGTCGAATAAATCCTCCCACACTGAAGCGTTTCACATGTTGCGCGTCGGTGCCACTCATTTATTGCGAGTTGTCACTCACTTTGCGAATCGTGGGTTTCTTTGAAATGAACAAAACCTCGGCGTCCACTGGGGTTTTATTTTATTTATTTAATTTTTATTCACGCGGGGTTGAAGCATCTCTCAAATGTTTGACGGGAAGGCTGTTTTTCAAGAAAACCTATAATGAGATCATTGTTTTTGTTCTTTTTTTTTTTTTTTCTTAAAAAAATAAATAATCTCGAGGAAAGGATAACCGGTGGAAGCTGGCGCTGCAGGATGGCAAACTGCAGAGAAGATCTCTGAAGCCTTATTGTACTGCAGTATGCTGGCAGTAAGGGTTTTAGTCATGCTGCTCACAAACTGAAAGATCAGCTCAGGCATGAAACAATGCCCTGCTTTTATTCCTTAAAGTATTTCGCCGTGTGTCACTCTGTAAAATAAAATCCAGCATTTGAAAATGGTCGCACTCCTCTTATGTTCTGAACCTTTTTTGAGAAATTAAGTGCATTATTGGTGATTATATGAGGTATGAGTTATCAAGCCTTCGCTCAGGAAGTGAAAGAGCCTGCTTTAAATTTCAGGTTAGATGTTAAGATCACCTTTAAAGGCTTTCATAATAATCTTGATGTATTTTTATTCAGTGTGCGGCTGGTTTTAGAGCTTGGCCACTGTTTCCCTGGGCACAATCAATAAAGAGCCATGACTTATTTGGTTTTTCTATTGATTGTCCTTTCTTGGTCTTTTCTTGATATGTGAGTAAACCAAATACCTCTTTTATTCAACAGCTACCCTGCAGTCTGTGACTTTCTACAACACAATAACTTATTATCTATCATCCGGGCCCATGAAGCACAGGATGCTGGGTGAGTGCTGTGGTATTTTGTCTTTTCTCATCCCACTGTCACACAGAGCGATTCAGACTGGGGTATTAAATGAAAAGCCTTCCCCTGGTACCTAGGGGTTTGCTCCAGTCTGTCTGGGAGCAAGTTCAGGGCAGCCTGATCTTTGAGAGGAGCCACGTTAATCCAAGAAATGAAAAAGAAACCTCCGTGAGGAGCGAGCTGGCCAGATGTGAAGCGACAGGAATGATTCACGCAGCTCGCGGTGCGGTTTAAAAAGTGTTGCGCATTTCACATTTAGACACCTTTACAATTTTAACTACCCAGCAAATTTTTTTGGCACAGCAGGAGGTGTGATAAGCATTTCATCAGGATTTCTACAAAAATAAAGCCTCTTTGAAATGTTTTTGTTTTTTTAACACTGCCAGGTGGGTGGATGTGTCAAGCCGATCTTCCTCTAAGCAAGGTTAAGACAGTGGGAGGCACAGCAGCAAAGTTGTTTACCATTGCACTCCCACTGGGTGGTCACATGGGACACCTTGGCCCTCAGTTGAGATAGCTGCCCCAAGACACCTCAGACCACACATCATTAAGTTAATGGCTCCCTTTTAGACTTAATTTGCAATGCCCAGTGAATATGCAGATTTTTTTTTTATGGCTGCAGTCTGTGGTCTAATAAATCGTCTAGGCTAAAACATGAAGCTTTAGTCCATTCCAGATATAAATACGTAGCATTCCCCATCATCAGTAGCTGTTAGTTGCATCAGACTACTCAGAACTTGGGACTTTAGCAAAGGGATTTACTCTCTGGAGGCACAGTGAAATATTAGGCAATAAAAATTATCACTACTAATCAATCTCAAGGGTCAAATGCAGTTGAGTAATTCATGAATGAATAGTTGAAATGTTAACTGATGCTTCTCCCTGGAACTTCACAGATACCGCATGTACAGAAAGAGTCAGACCACTGGCTTCCCGTCCCTTATCACCATCTTCTCAGCACCTAACTATCTAGATGTCTACAACAACAAAGGTAAGAGCGTGGAATTTGTCGTAATCAGTCTACTGCGGCTTGTAGCTTTTGAATACCAGATTGTGACATGTCGTTTTATGACTTGCCTAAGGCGACATAATATTCACTGTCAAGTCGATCCAGGCTGTAGAGTTGTTAGTGTCAGATTTGTTAAAGATGAATGACAGCAGTGTCTCAAAATGCTTCGAAATCACTGCAGGATGATTGTAGATATAACTAATATTATGATTTTTTTGGGGAGGTTATTTGTGAAGAATTGCTCTACATTCATAAACTGTATAAAAAGACAGACGCAGCTTCTATATCTGATAGGGCTGCCACAAACAATTATTTTGATAGTCGACTAGTCACCGATTATTTTTGCGATTAGTCGACTAATCAGATCATGCGTCCATTGGACGTAAAACGTACAGCTTATTGCACCAGCACCACTCGAGCATCTCACACTTCTGATAATCAGCTGTCTGCCTGACATTTATTCAGCTGTGTAAAAATTATAACTTTAATCTCAGCCAAACCGATTTACTCAGGAACAAATAAAATACTAAAAAAAGCCAAATGATAACATTTTAAGTTATCTAAGTGACTTATATATCATGTTTAACCTGAGTAGCGAAAGACAGCAGGGGGGTTTGAAAACGATTTGCCGGGAGTCCGGTGTTCTCACGGCGCTAGTGACCTAGCCCCCGGTTAGCTATCGAGCTAGTGGGTAACAGACGTCTCCGAAAACGTCGGAGCGCTTTTGAAAATATGCGGTGTCTTGATAAACTGAGCCGATATTTGAGGTTTACACAGCTACATTCTCGCCAGAAAATATGTTCAACGTTTATTTTGTGACCCAGAAAGTATAATAAGAGAGTTAAAACTAACTAGCTGCCGCCATTGTTGGAAACTGAGCAGGGCCGCGCTATGAATTCTGGGATAGGTTGGGCCTCGAAGCGACCCACCCTTCAAATCTGGGGAAATGAAGGGCGCATTTATCGGCCGCATTTGTCAGAGTCTTCGAATTTGGACAGTCTTCGACGTGTCGCTGTAAAGTAATCTGCCTACAAATGCGGGCACAGGAGGATGCGGTTCCTAAATTTGGACACAGCTACGATACCGGACACCGCTTCTTCTTCTTCGAGGTTTAACGGCAGCTGGCATCCTCGTACATGCAGTGCTGCCATCTTCTGTTTCAGTCCGTTATTACACTCTTAAATCCTACTACTTATTCCTGCGTCTTTTGGGATCTTACAAAGCTTGAAACGATGCTTCGACTATTAAATTAGTCGTCGACGATTTTAATAGTCGACGTAATCGTGACTAGTTGACTAACCTTAGAGGTTTTTCTGAAATGAGTGGTTTCTGTCCTATTTCAGGTCTACTTTTAGTTTGTGAGGGTGGTCTCTGCCTATGTGGCCACCCTTGGAAAAACCCAGAAGCTATTCTAGTGGTCATCATACGACATCTATATTGATATATATTCCAATAGAGAACTACTCTTCCTTGGGTCAGTGGTGTACACAAAAGTTGGTTTGCACTATTTGTCCTGTGCAACATTGATTTTAGTCTGGTAGTTTTGGGGAGGGAGCTGGTGTGAAGTGGCCTGGTGCCGCATCACTTGGCACCTAGTGACGCCCGATGCTGTGCTGCGGTGCCTGCACTGAGATGGGCTCGCCTTTGTGCTGTGAGTCAGCACTTTTCCCTGAGAGAACAGACAGTATCTGCTTTAACTGTGGGGGCACGTTTGGAATGGTGACATCGGTGGGAAAACCACAGGAAATGGGAAGGAAAGAGTGACGGGGGCTAGTTCGTGCTGTTCTGCAATGCCTCTCTTGATGAAATGCCACATCACCGCAGTGGTTATTACACATGTGAGGGCTTTCCTATTTGCAGGTGTGTGCCATCTTTGGTGAGACATTAGGTTACGTTTGTTTACTTTTTTTGGAGCTGCCTCCTTCCCTACACAGTGAAGATGGTGAAGAAGTGTGGCACTGTGCCTTTGTTTATTATTAGAAACCTATTTGTTCCATGCCAACTAATCTTCCTAGGACTCACAGTCAACACAGCACAATCCAAACAAACAAAGTGATGTGAAGCACGTGTTTGGGTTTTTGTTTTGTTTTGCTTTTTAATTCTGGTAACCAATTGCCCGGAGAATCGTTTAAGTCTTCTGGAGATCATAATGGAACAGCCGAAATATCAATTTTTCTTCCCGATTTTGTCTCAACGCTTCTTTTAGACGTAGCTGGTGGATGTTCAGCTGATTAAAATACTACCCAGGGCATTGGTGGTTATCAGACAGAAAAGATTGCTTTGTGTTGTTTCAGAACTGACTTCATTTAGACATAAAAATATATCTTCCCCCAGAGTACATGCTTTAAAAAAATAATAAAATAAAATACAATTTCTCAACATTTACTCTCCGTTGCAAAACGATGCACACTTTTTGACTAAATCCATTTTCTTAATGTAGCTACAAGCAGTAATGAAGGCAGCCGTGCAGTTCAGTAGAGCAAAGTCGCGATGGAAATGTGATCTAATCCTGTTAAAAGCTGTAAGTAAGCACTGATATAAAAAATGCTTTTTTGCTCATTACAGAAAGTTACCAGACACAAGAATTACTTATAGATATTAGGTTAAATCCATTTTTTTGCAACTTGCTGGTTTTTATTTCGTTTTTTAGTTTTTCGCTTGGTTGTAACAAACACTTTCTAAATTTTCAGTACAACAACTAACGTGATGCTGGGCCATCTGTGTTAATTTTAGTAAAAATGTTTCCTCCTTAAAAAATAAAATAAAAATGAATTGTGACCTTTCAGTCTTCAGTGGGTGTAAACCAGTTTAACAGTCTGTGTCGTGAAGTTTTCTGCTTGATCTCAGGAATCTTAGTGTTTCGTATCTAAAAACTGGCCGTCGGCTGTTGTTCAGAAGTCTCTATATAAACACTCTTCTAACCTCCACCTCTGATGGTGTTGGATGGAGACCTGGATAAATTAAGGGACTGTTATAAATCACTGTCGGGTTTTTAAAACTTCACAAATATGAGTGGGGAAAGGGAGTAGTTCCCAGCCACAAAGAATAAAACACTCCAACTTGAAGGCTCTGAGATTTCATATCAACATTAAAGCACATTACTTAGCTCCTATTCACTTGGCATCCACTTGACAGTTACACAAGTCCGTGAAACGATCCCACATTCCTGTTGATGCTCTTAACGAGTGCTGTGGGTGGGGTTCATTGGTAGAAGTAAAGCCCCTGTAATGAATTGCTGTGCTCTTAGCTTCATGCTGGAGCTCCACGCACACTGAGCAATGGCCCTGTGATTGATGGCCAAACGAGTGGGTGCATAAATTTTAAAGAGGAGGGAGGAGGCATCGGCAGCTCCCATCAATCCCGCGTTAGGGGGTGGATGGATTAACCAATGATACCTCTCCACGTGGGGGTAAAAAAAGAAGAGAAGTGCTCCTCCTATCAGAGAGGTGGACGATATCTGAAGCAACACAAACTGACTCCTTTCCCAAAAGTAGACTGAACTCACTTGAAGGCTAGTTAGACTGACGAACACATGAATTAGGACTTAATTCTATAAATTCCAGCTTTAGATGCCACCCCAGCCCTCAGTCCTCCTTTTTTCATTGAGTGTCAGATGCTGACCAGCTGTCCATCACTGCTCTGACCCCTTCAACCCTTCAGTAAAAAGTGACACAGGCAGTTGCAACATGGCAGAGGGAGGCTGTGTGAAATGAAAACTCAGCAGCAGTGATTTTGCAGTTTTCACTGTTTGATCTTTCTCGGTTTGGCTCCAGAAGTGACTGCAGTGGGGGGAGAGAGTGATGGAGTAGGGTAGATGGAGTGGGTGTAGTTGGCAGTTGTACACTTGTGCTTTTGTATTAATGGAGTGCTTTGTGCTGCATCATTATTGACCGGTCCAGAAAATCAGCAACTAAGCCCGAATGGTTATGTTTCTTAGATTGAAGTAAAGCTAAACGACAGTGGTGCTGCACGAGCTGTTTACATGAAACATTTACTTCGTCCACGACGACAGTTAAAGGTTGTTTGATCCATCTCGCTCGTGTCGCTTTCCTTCCTTCCTGTTTTCCTTTCAATTAAACAGAAAGTACCTGTTGACATCTCCTTGCAATTAATTACATACAATACAAACTGGAAAGTAGGACAATGAGTGGTAACATCAGCAGATGCATTGTATTGTAGGACAGTTCAGTTCATGCATGGATTAGAGCCAAAGTGGAGCAGATCCAGTATGGCTCCAGTTCACCGAGACGTCGCACATCGTGAGGACACACTGTGATTCGTGAGTTCTTCAGCTGTACACGGACAGCACAGACCAATTACGCAGCAGTCACTTTGATATGAAATGTTAGGCGGACATTGCAAAGGTTATTGATGAAGGTTGTGTTCTGTTTAGTTCAATAGCCTCAGTTGTTTGTGATTAGTACCGCCTCTTTCCCCACCATCTCATACCAAAATGACTGCTCTAAAATCTTTTCAGTCCCTGCAGTCCACGCGTGTGGCGTCAGCTTCTAAATGGCTGGTGTGAAAAGCTAACCCAGTGCAACTTTATACGCGAGGCATTAAAGGCAAATATGTAGTCAGCACAGAGTGTCGGAAGGACAGCGGGAATCTCCCCCTGGTCTCAAAGCAGATTTAACAGTCTTCGTTGCCAGGGAAACCGGCTGGAGGCACTCCCTTATGAATAATGAATGAGCAGGCGTCTCTCTGCAATATCTGTGTTACCGTTGCAGCAGGCTTGGCCTCAGCTGCCCTATTATCTGCCGTCGGAGCAGCAGAGCCCTCTAGTGGCTGTCATGCAGCATGCTCTGGCAGTGGACACAGAACTCTCAGCTGGTCCGTGCGAGCTTAAGTGACTTCCATTGTATGAAAAAGCTGCATATAATTGTGTTTTGCAGTGATGAGGAAAATAAAGTGCTTTAATGTCACCCTCATCTGCCCTGACAATACAGATGAGGGCACTGAATACATATTTGTCTCTAATGCCTCTTGTATTTTAAAAAAAGAAGAAAAAAAAAGCCTGAACAAGTGTTTGTGTTTGGTACGAGGCAGGTTGCTGGGTGTCTCTGTTCCTTTAAAAGGAATCTGATTTGAAGGAGCGACAACAGGGGAGCTGACCTTCTCCCCCGCTCTGCCTTTTTCCCTCTGGGCTTCCATGGCTGCATTCAATCAAGTGCCTCAACGATGTTTATGCAGTATGTGATGTTTATGCAATGGCTGCCCACGTGTGCGATTGCTTTCATGCACGCCAACGCGCAGGGATAAACACCCACAGCTCCGTCTGAGTGGACCGTGTTGTAGCAATGCAGCGCTGTTCTTATTCGAGCGGGTAGTAGTGTTTTGCTGATATTGATAATAATCCTGCATTAATTATACAAGTGTATGGATGTTCCCCTGCAGGAAAGTTTTCTGTTTGTATTGTGTTGCCTGGCACTTACGAGTGTTTAAGTATTACTTGAGCACCACTTTCAGTGCATACTACACACACACATTTGTATCAGAATGCTTACTGACCTGAATTGTGTTGTTCCTGAGGTAAAGCTGCCTGGATGCCAGGTTTGATGACTTGCTATTCTTGAATCTGAGAGGAGCTCAGGCAGGAAAGTCCCCCATGGTGACCCTGCCACAGTATCCGCTTTCCTCAGATCTGGGCCACCAGACTGGCCTTGTGTATTAGAGAATCTGAGGCTGCTATATACAGCATGGATATATTTATGTTTGGCAGCTCTCATGTTTTCCTCCACACCCACGTTAACACTGTCTAATCATAGGTGAGGTCGCACGGGGCACACTGTGTGGCCAGTTTTTGACAGCTGGTTTCTGTGTGCGTGGAGATCACGATTATAATGAGACATTTAGTAAAATAAACTGAGAAATATACTGTAAAATATACCAAATATGGCACAAGCAGAAATGTATACTGGTGAAATGCTGTGTCTTCTTTTTAATACCTAAGATTTACCTGGCAAGTTCATAAGGAGTGACACATACCATGCCAGCTGTGTAATCCTTTTTGGAAAAGCAGGTGCTGTCAAGCAGGCTTAAGTTAAAGACCCAACACACAGCATGTTTGTGCTTTTATTCTGCTGCTCTTCCTCCACCCTTACTGTGAACACCAGCTACCACACCCACTCAAGTCTCTCCTCTTAAATTATTCATCTGAGTAATTGAAAACCGCTGTGTATGGATTTTTTTTAAGGCAAATGTAGATTTTTGTAAATATTCTCTAAGTTTGCAAACTGAAACTGCTCTAAAAATAAGAAAAAAATAACATGTGGGTGTAACTTAAGAGTTCATAAATCGATTGCCTAGAAACTAAGAATACATACTTTCATTACAGTAATGATCATTATTGTGTCTAGTACCTTACTTTTCTATCTATTCCTTCCTTTCCTCCTCACCAGGAACTGCTTTTCTGTTAACCAGTGAAACGTGCTCGCCCTCATGAGCCCAAATGTTCCAGAGCATCGATTTTTATTTTCTCCAAACAGCAGGTTACCCTCGTTTAGATGCTTGTGCAGTTTGCTAACTTTGATTTGCAGAAATCAGTTTGTACTTTTGCATTTAAATGAGTCCTTCTGTCAAAGTGAGAGATTGGCACATGCTGACTGTGTAGATATCACCTTAAAGTGGCAAAAAAAATATCCGCCTTTTAGTCTTTGTGTAGGTATTTTGTTCTAAACCGTTTTATTCTCCATCATCTCCAGAGGTTGACTGACAGCATTTGACAAGATGTTGAGCGACGTCCAGGTTTCGGTGTGGACGTGGACGACAGTTTTGTCCACCTTTTCCTTTTTTCTTTTCGGGCAAATGGTACTCTGTAGTTATCAGTGGTTTTGCTGAATCACACCTCCGCACAGCACCTGCAGCTAATGAATCATTAACCAGGAACAGTAAGCGACTTTTAACATTGAATCCCACATCAAGTGTTTCATAATGCGACTGAATTAATTTGTTGTTTTAGGTTTGAAGAAGAAATGTTAAGGCCAGTCCCGAAATGCTTTCTTACTTCAACTAAAAGGGGGGGGGGGGAAAGTTACTTGTGAAGAATGCATCAGTATTCTTCCAGCGATTGCTCGGATGTTTGTTTCTTCTGTGTGTATACCATTAGCTCTTCAGCTGAGTACTTTGAGGGCTATTCTCCTCAGACCAAGTGTAAGAGCCATCATGACAGTGAAGGCTGTAAGTGGTGGTTGGGAACAGGATAGAATCTAATAATGGACCCTGGACCACAGCGAGAGCTGAGGCCTCTTTATCGACATAAATCCCAAATGTGTCATAAAATCATAAATCAAAACTTCCATTATAGGCTTGGGTGGTATCTCTTTTTTCATACTTTGCTGACATTTCATAGGAGTATATTATATTTGTTGGGTGAAGCAACCGCAACTTTCTTGAGGCAGATGGTACACGCAGCTTTGCCCTTGCTGGCGGACAGATTTTTATCAACAGGATTAAATCTAAATGCTTCCATTGGGTTTTTTTTTCTGTCTTTCACAGCTTGCTGAGCTCAGCTGCCTTGTTCCACCAGTAGAGACTGAGCTCTGTGCACTGCAATCCATGACCTAGGGCTGTGCGATATGACCAAAATCTCATATGCCGATATAAAACATCTCTATATAAACGATATAAATTTTCTGTAAATTCTGTGAATCTCGGGCAGCTCGACTTGCGTGAAGTGTTTCCAGCTGGGCGTCGTGTACCTGGAGTCGAGTGTTTTAACCGATGCATGAAACGATACATTTTTAGTCACAAGTTGTAACGCCCATCGTTTTCTTTGTATTTATTACACAGCGTGCTGCGGGGAAAAGCCTGCTCTAACGTTTGAGTCTAAGGTTTATTTTTTAGCACCTTTGCGTCTCATCCGTAAATACTCTGCATACTCTCTCACGTGATTCAGTTTATTTTGAAAAGTCTCAACAGGATCTTGAGCTTTATTGTGAAAGGTTTATGTGGAATATAAACAAGCGGACACGCGATGGTGTTACCGTCGTTGTTGCTAACAACAACTCATAAAAACAGGCGCTTGTCCGTACGTAGTGTGGTTATATTAAATATAAGAGAAAGAGAGAACTTTAAGAAATTAATATAGCCACTACAGTGATCATCAGAACGATGAAAAATATTGCCGTAAACAGCTTATTTTGCGACACCACGAAACAAACGATAGCGTAAAATGAAACGATAGATGTTTTTATATCGTCATCCGACATATATCATTATATCGAACAGCCCTACCATGACCCCAATACATCTCTATACCATTTCATTTATAGAGAGATGTATACTCCCTGATTTTCTTTATTTTGTGACCGTATTGAAAATTTCTACATCCCCAATTTCTACATTGTCTTGTTACATGTAGGCAGAGACGTTCTGGAAACTACGACTGTTTAATACTCTGGATTTGCTTTAACATCTTTCCTTTTTTTTCCCATCCCCAGCGGCAGTGCTGAAGTACGAGAACAACGTGATGAACATACGACAGTTCAACTGCTCACCTCACCCCTACTGGCTGCCCAACTTCATGGATGTTTTCACCTGGTCCTTGCCCTTTGTTGGTGAGAAAGGTGAGTGTGCATGCACTACATTCAGTTTCTTTTAGTAATGAGTGAAAGCAGTTCTTCTTTTCATTCTTGAATGGCGCTTGTCCTTCTGATTTTCATGAATTGCTATTGAAAACAGCCCGGCCTTGAGAAATATAGCGTGTACACTTTGTGCCGCAAAATCACTTTGCGGTTCATACATGGGATACTTAAAGCCAAAGATTTACAAGCCAGAAACGCGCTTGTATGCAGCGTTATAAATAAGTTAGAGGTAGAAGTTGGGACGAATGGGTTTGTTTTTTAACGAGGCACATACACTTAAGGATACATAAAAGGGAAAATTGGAGGAAAGTTGGAAAATAAGTGTGTTTTGAATGTTTTGTTTGATAGTTTCCAGCGGACTGGATAATCTAATAGCAATAGGAAACTTTTCCAGAGACAAAGGCAGCAGATGCTCAATCTCTTTGATCTTAAGTGAAAGGATAGACAGTGGAGAGCCAATCTGGTTGGATTTAAGTCCTAATGCAAACACGAATCATTCAGAAATATGCTCCAACGTTGCACCATGTAGCACCCAATAAGCAACCAAAATTATGTATTGATTTCTAAATTCTTCTTGGAGCCAGTGTTTGTCTCCCTGCTTTCTTGATCAGAAGATAAACTCCAGCTTTTCTTGTCTTTCTTTGTTCTATTTGCTGATGAGCTGCAGCTCCTTGTTAAAGCAGGAGTATAATGAGCAGTTGTGAGCTCTATATATATACATGTCTATATAAAGTAAATTGCAGATAAGTAGTCCATGAAAGTTAGAAACTGCCAGACATTGGCTGTGCTTGGCATTGTCGAGGTCTGGGTTGCTTTGAAGATTTACTCTGGTTAAGCTGTGACACATCTGTGTCAATTAATCACACATAAGTATGCCATTCCTGGCAGTCTCACGAGGTCACTGATCAGCACAGCTAACTGCATGTGTGTGTGTGGAAGAGTCAATCGAGTGAACCGGAGCAGCCCAGAGTTTCTCAGCAAAGTTTTTTATTAAATATGTGTGAGATGTTTTAAAGTATGCTTCTCTTTTCTTGTACAGTGACGGAGATGCTAGTGAACGTATTGAGCATTTGCTCCAATGATGAGCTGTCAACTGAAGAGGAGCTGGACGGTAAGCTCGGTGGTTCAGTTTTCTCTGCACTTTGCCCCTGCTCCACTAGAGGGCGTATCAGACGTTCATTATTCAAAACCTCACACACACACAGACTCTTACTTAGTTTTTACATGTATGGTGTTCAGAATTTTACATGTAAAAACTATATATGCTTTAAACTATTAAACACAGAGGAACGTGACGTCTGAATGACTGAACTCGGCAGCTTGGAAATGATGACCTTAGATAATCCAGGAAATATGAAGACCCTTATAAAGTCTCAACATGTCTGTCAGTATTAAAACAAAAAATCCTTTGAGGACAGTTTTTTGAAGTGTTGTTTTCTGCTAAGTTGCTTGGTTTATCTACGCTAGTGGTGAATCTGAGTCATCTGTTTGATACCAGCTTACAGCTTATGTACACGAGATGGCCAGTTTTCCTCTGCCTGCCCCACCTCTTACTGCCAAACAGGAAATGATCTCACCAGACCCCCTCCTCCCACCTCTCTTCCTCCTCTTTCTTTGTGTTTACTAATGGTCACAGTGTGCATCGGTAAACCCAGGATATGTGTCAGGATCTCAGCAGATTTCCACCATGTCTGAGCTCCTGCACATCTAAACGCAGCGTTTCCTTTAATCTACTGATCAGGGAGCGTAGATTGAGATTTGCACAGATCATGTGCAAGACCAAATGTTGTGGTTTATAATGATTTAGAAATATTTGGGGGGGGTTTGTTACTATTTTTTCCAAATTCACAAAGAGAACCTTTCTTGCTTCATTGTGCTGTTGAAGTTGTGATTGTAAATATCATTATAGAATGAACTGGTTTTACATGTGGCTCATTTAAAAAGCATTTCATATGAGAAAAGCTAAATTCTGATTATATCGATGAGGAAATTAGCACAACTCATGCACTCGGCCATTCCTAAACATTAGTAGCTGTCCTTTAACATCTTCATTTTCTACCAACTCATTCATGCTGATTTTAGATGATCTCATTTCTTGCCACTGCTTGTTTCTTGTTTAGTTTCGCAGCCATTTCCATGCTTGTTTTATTTATTTATTTTAACTGTTTTGACATTTGAATTGTGTTATGTTTTCTTTCTCGCTCATAAGCTCCTTTTTTGTGCCCTGTTATGATTTCAGATAATCCTTCCTATGACCCGCTCTTTATCTGCTATGGTTTCCATGGTTTTCAGTTGCCATTATGTTGACGTTTCCAACCTCACTACATATTTCACATCTTTTCTTCTCTCTCTCATTCTCTGTCTTTCCCATGATTATCTCATCTAATTTCTCTTTTTTATGTTTTCCAGAGTTTTGTGCTCAAGGCATCGCTTTTGTTTACACTCGTGCTTTCTTGCCTCTTATTTTGCCGTGCGCTCCCTCTCTTCCACCTCATTCATTCTGCAGCCATCCACTGATCTCTCTGTCCTTTCTCTTGTCTTCTCTTCTGGGGGTGTTTCATGAGAAGGACAGCTAATATATCCCCCCAAAAAAGGTACAAACACTAGCTGTACTGGTGTGTGCAGAGATGGACAGACTTTTGTTCAGTGCTTGCTCTCTGCATTTCTGAAGTCTCTAAACTAACACCTCTGTTTAAAGCACCTGCTAACACTTCTGCTGAGGCTAACTGTGGTTCTCAATTAAACCGAAAAATGGGTCAAAAGTGTTAACAGTTACCCACTCCTGTTTGAGGCCGGCCCAGAAAGGGGAAAAAGTGTTCAGAAGAGTCATGCCTTTTATCTAAATTAGTCTTTGTTGTACACAATAAATATATTCTGAAGAATGAGCAACCTGAGGATGGCAGGAAACAGATCCTCACACTGTCAGCTGTGTCCCTTACCCAGCTTTACTCCATGCATCGACTTCATTTCTGTCCCTCGTACATTTTCCAAACTGGGCCTTTGGGACCTTGAAACTGTTATTTTGCAAAAGGGGATCTTTAAAACAAAGTTTCCAGTCCAGGAAAAATCCCGTTAGTCTCCACCGCTAAAACACAGCACAGGAAAATTTAAAGAGCGTGCTTATCGAAACATGCTGAAAACACTTTGGACAAGGTCAGAGCCATTCAGTGATGGAGAACAGTGGCTTGTTTTAAAAAGGTTTAAGTGCTCTCTGGGCAAAATAATCTGTGAGAGTCAAAGGGACTGCAGCTCACAGTACGTAACACAGCCGCAGCATGAATGCACTGAATGCTGAGAATTACTCAGATGATGTGATGTGTTTATAGATGCAAACCATTTTCTGTAAACCGAACTTAAGACTCCAATAACAATGTGTTTGCATTGTATTCGTCTCCTGCACTGCTGGATAAACTAATAGTGGAGAGACGTGCTCTGTTTTGAGTAGACTCACTGAATTCGATGGTCTTTTAACGAGGATTTGGGGGATTAAAACAAACGGCACATAGACTATGCGGTGCATTGTACGCTCGACTTCCACAGGACGTGGTTGAGTTCAGATGAGTCACGGGTTGTAAGACTTTTTGCACTTTCTCAATGCAGGTGCCACAGCTTCTGCACGTAAGGAGGTCATCCGCAACAAGATCCGTGCCATTGGGAAGATGGCCAGGGTATTCTCTGTGCTCAGGTAAACACTTAAAAACAGTGTTGTTGTTGCGTTAAGCTCCATTTACACAGCCTTAGAGATCTGCGCTTGAATATATTATTAATAACTTATTAAAGTAATAAATATGTTACTTTAATATTTCATGTTACAATTGATTTCTGACTCTTTTTGTTTTGTTTTTTTTGTTGCCAACTTAGTAACATGGTTATGTAGTTATGTGACTGCCCAAAACCCATATTTTTGATGTTTTTCTAAATAAATAAAATGTTGCTCGGTTAATATTTCAGAGAGGAGAGTGAGAGCGTGCTGACGCTGAAGGGTCTGACGCCCACAGGCATGCTACCAAGCGGAGTGCTGTCCGGAGGCAAAGAGAAGCTGCAGAATGGTAAGTGTGTCACAGAGACCCCCCACCACCAGTGGATTCTCACACCAACACGTTTTCCCCTTACACAGCAGAACTCTCAACAAAGTGCAAGCTTAGTGTTTACAGAATACTGCAAATACAGACTCCTTCACTTTTCTCCTCATTAACTGTACTGGAATTTCAAAATGTTAGCATAGTTAAATGTTTCTGAGAGTGTCAGTCTTTTTTTATGTTTAGTTTAATTGTTACTAAACAGCAACAGTTGCTCCTTGTAGTTTTTATCTCCCTAAACAATGACAAACACATTCAGCAGATTTTTATTTATTTTTTAAATTTTTTTGTGTCCATGTGTCCCCTCTGATCTGTACGGAGCCCCGCAGGGGACATGGGAGAAAAAAAAATTAAGACGGACTTTTGCGAGATCTCGCAAAACAAACTCGGGATCTGGCAAAACAAACTCCAAACTCGGGATCTCGCAAAACAAACTCCAAACTCGGGATCTCGCAAAACAAACTCCAAACTCGGGATCTCGCAAAACAAACTCCAAACTCGGGATCTCGCAAAACAAACTCGGGATCTCGCAAAACAAACTCGGGATCTCGCAAAACAAACTCGGGATCTCGTTAGCTCGAAGCTAACGGGAGGTCGAGACCTACTACAGCCGGGAGGAACACTGCTTTCCCGGCACATCGTGCCTCGACCTCCCGGTCGGCTTCAAACTGGCGTCCGAAGAATGCGGCTAAAACTTTTGCGAGATCCCGAGTTTGTTTTGCGAGATTTCGCAAAACTTTTGCGAGATTTCGCAAAAGTCCGTCTTAATTTTTTTTTTCTCCCATGTCTCCTGGGGGGCTCCGTAGATCTGGCATTAATACGCTCTCTTCCCGTCCTATTCTTTCACTGTATTCCACTGGGTTTATCTCAAATATTACCTGTATCTTTTTCTTTCTCCTTTCTCCCTAGAAACTGCAGGTATAATCAATTGTGCAAGTATTCCATTGTGTGTTGTTATTTTTTTCTTTGTGGGAAAAGATAAGCGTTCAGTTCACTCTTTCTCATGTGAAATTTCAAATGCTCCCTCAATGAGTTTGGCAAGCTGCCGCAGCAAGGAGATGAAGGCTTTTTTGGAATCACCTTTACGCACGCTTTAATTGGATACAAACGTTTACAGCGCTGATCAGATCTGAGCGCTAGCAGAGAATCTCAGCAGTGCTCTGTCAGAATAGACTCAGGTCTCTGTGAATCAAGGGATAAAACTGTATCGACACTAATAAGTGTAGAAAAAGGGATAGCTGCCATCTGCCTTGTCATTCACCAAGTAAAGCAGAAATCCGGTAGACTTCCCTCTCCTCGCACAGGTTCTCACCCTACATCAGCTAGCACTTTCCTGAATACACAAAAACATCTGTAGCATAGTGTTAGTAACCTTTAAATAATGATGATAATAACAAAGGTTTAATCATGCTGTACAGTATGGTGTACAGTACTTTAGCACACTTAATCATCAAACTGTTTGTTTGGTCCTCGTGTAGCATTACCTACTTAGCTACTGGTCATACCACACTAAGGTAGCAGCAGTCGTGCAGGTCTATGGATCTCAGTAAGATTGTGTTTTATTGCTTAATAACACCCCTTTTCGTTTCTAATGTATAAAATCTTATTGAAATCGTGGAAGACTTTACTAAAGAACCACTTGAACATATTACATAACACCGTGTTCATCAACTTAGTGCGCACGTGTCCTTAGACGTGAGTCTGTCAGAAATCAAAGAGCCTCTGACTAAAGCTGTCAGTTTTGCATATCTCTGTTAGGAAGGATGCAATTATCCTGAAAGCATAGCATTCTTTCACAGTCATTTTCAGCATCTCTACTGAGCTTTTAAACCAACATTAAAGTGGACCTATCATGCTCATTTCCAATATCATGGGTTTTTTCAGGGGGGTTTTTTTTTTCTGGGAATCAACTAAAGTAGCTCTGCATGATTCATTTTTATCATCATTTATCTTATGCTGGGCCGTGTTGCTGCCCATTAGCACATGCCCTGTCTGAAAAGAGCTGCTTGAATAGCAGGTGGGTGGGGCTTCTGTGTTGTTAGCCGGGGGAATATCTGACTCTGACCTCATTATTTGGAACTTTGACCATGTCTGATATGCCCGTCCAGCATTGGAAAACAAGGGAAAGCATCATGGGTCCCCTTTAAGTTTCAAACAGGTGTTTCTGCCGATGGCCTACATGACAATAGTGCTCTTAAGGATTAGTGTATACATTATATAAGTTCAGAGGGATTTGTTTTTGAAGCAGCTGACACTAAAGAGAACTGCGGTGAAGGTAGAGCGATGTTCAGAGATTCCTGTTACGACATTGGTAGAATCACACTGCTGCCCTTAGCACATCAGTGTGCTTCTACTCTAATGTTGACTCCATCAGTCATACTCTTTAAAGTCTCATGCTATTGTGCCCTTTTTTTAAGTATGTAGTCTTTAGTAGAATTTAGTCATTACTTTGTTGTCACCCTCGCCCCACCCCCCATCTTTGTTAAAGTTGACTCTGCAAAGTTTTATCGTGTGTTCACTTATTATCTCGAGGATGACTGTAATTGATTGGTAAGTGGCTGAAAGGTTTCCTCCCCTCACGCGTCGCAGAAGTAAGCCAGCACTTTTGATATTTATTATCAAAAGATGCTAATCCCGCAGCTGCAGATGCTACTTCATGTTGCACACAACACAACGCTAACGACGCTCCATGTTTCTGTTGTACTTCGAGCTTTTACATTAACAGTTCAGTCACGGCCAGAAAGCTCACACCTGCACGCGCACTTAAGTCCTCTCTCTGTTTTCCATTTGTCTCGTTTCGAAATGTACTCTTTTCTTTGCGTAACAGGAACACCTAATGCATCTGCAACTTGCTAAAATTGCTGTCAATGTTCATTCTTGCAGTTTCCATTTTATCTGTCACACATTCAGACCTTTTGTCAAACACATTCAAAGTACCTCAAACATGCAATCCTCTCCATGAGGTATGCTGCTACATACGTGTATCGCCTTCCCTTTACAGATCTGGAACTAAGGCTCATCCTCTCCCCTCCTCCCCCCTCTTTCACCGTTTCCCCTGTTTGCTAACATCCACATGTCCTCTGTCATAAAATGTGGAGATGATTTTTAACCTGTGTTGTCGGCATTGGCTGTCTTTGCTGCTCATTGACTTGTTCCTGGGACAAAATGAACTCTCCTGCTCACTTCTCTCATTCATTTTGCAACCTCCCTCTTCTTCTCTTCAGCTACTATTGAAGCTATTGAGGCTGACGAAGGTAAATGGGTCTGGCTGCCCTCTTCTGTTGCTTCTCATGGCAATAGACAGGGGGCTGTGCTGGGTTTTCATCCATCTCGCTGGTGCTTGAATAGAGTGTGTTGGGTGTTTGGGCTAACAAATTGTGGCATAGTATTAACGGAGAAAAAGAAGTAAGTAAATTAGGAAATCCTGTGGTCACATGTTTGAAAGGGGAATGTCTTTCATAGCACAGATTTTATAATCACAAAGGTCATCTGTGATTTTGAGTGAGTGCAAAGCAAATTACACCTCGCGGTCTTCCTCGGAAATCAGCGCTAATGTAGGCCACAATCGGTTCATCCACAAAAACTCCTGCGTTAAGGATCTTCTCTGTTAGAAGTTAAAATAATCTGCATGAAACATCAAGATAAAGAGAAAATGCACATTCACACGTATATAATGTAGGAGGTGGGTATCATCAGGTCATCTGGCAGCTTTACCAAGCCTTCAGCCTATCCAGAGGGATAGACTGGACCAGCATCCTTAAAGGTCCTGAAAACCTAAAGTTTTGAGGGGTTATGTGATGCACACAAGCCAATAAAATCCTTCATTTTTAAGTGCAGTATTGTGCAAAGGTCTTGAGCCGTGGCCCATTTTATATTGTTTTTGTATCGTTTCGGCAAAGAGCCAGACTATGTTTGGCAATTTTTAAGGTGGTCTGGAGCAATACTTTTCCAGGCACTCCATTTTTAGAATTAGTACCGCTGAGCTATGAATCTTTCAAGTGTAAAAAGACACCCGACGAAAGGGATGAACCAGTGTTGTGTCTACACATAACAGACAACTTATTTAAAAGCCTATTTTAAATTGTATCTTTAGGCACGTTGTTACTAGCAGCTTATCACAGAAACACACGAGATGAGTTTCAGAGCTGTTATCCAAACAACTTGGTATCTCTCACATGGTTTGCCCTTAAAAAAATTGATAAAACTGGACAAACAAGCGGTAAATCAAGACTTTTGCACAGTATTAGATCTGGCATGAACTTTTCCTAAACAAGCCTTAACTACTTCAGACCAATAGGAGAAGCACAAAGGTTATATCGCCATCATGGGTTCTGAATTTGGCCTTTCCCAAAAGCACAGGTGCTAATGTTGTGGTACTGGTACCAGTATTTTTCCACAGCAAATGTGTGCAGCAGATCTAGATAAGGCACCATGTAAGTGAAAAATAACCCCACCTTCCTGATTAAGGTTTTCACGACCTTAAAGAGGAAGTAGGTCCTGTCGAGTTATCGGTAGAGTTCACCTTGACAGGATATTGAATATCATTTTGAAGTAACACTTTATTTCCTAATGGAATATATTCCTAATGTTACCGAGGGTAATACTTTATGTGGTAAACTGCACTTGTTCTCTTATCTGGGGATTGAATGAACTTTTCCAGAGGAAGGTACTTCAATGAAATCACTCATCATAGTTTAAATGATTAATGCAATGCTCTTATCATAGCAGACAGCACGCTCCCCCTCTGCTCTGCCCTCACACAATACAATGAAGTCTTGCTATGAAAGCTCTTGATGGTTTTCCCCTTTGAAACAGCTGAAGCAGTTGTGCATTGTTGTTGCTGTTTTATTTATGTAACACCTTCCTTAGAGCTGAATCTGAATTGGTAGACGCTCCACAGGAGGCTTTGAAATCCAAATTGGACGCTCCCTAAAATCTGCTTTACTTGCATCGCCTTTGGCGCAAGAACAACCTCAACTGCGAGCTAAATAGTAGTATGCCAGCTGCTATTTACATTGAAATTGTCCAGTACTTCCTCTTTAGCCCCATAGAGGACAGTCCATTGTAGTGTCCAGACTCTTCTCTGCTTCTCTCTCCATGTGGATCCTCTGTGGCCCTGCTGTGTCGTGTTCTTTCCTCTGAGCTGCTAATAACCTGTGTCTGACCTGTGCTATGCAGCAACACAACTACGCTACCCATCACACCGTCCTCTCCACAATCCCCAATTTGTCCTCTTAAATCAAATCCCCTCCTCCCCTTGTCACACCCCCATTCTAGTAAGAAGGGTTTTCTTATTTACAACCATAGTATTAATCACCCTCAGTCTGTATGAAAGGTGGAAGTAACAAAATGTTTTTTAAAAAGTGCTGAAATAGAACTCAAGCTGAATATTGGAACGATTCGTTCTTGTAATACTTAAAGTATCCATCGACTTGAATGAAACAGCCTTGAATTGCTGGTTTTATTAATGTCATTGGTGTTTCTTTGCATATTTAAAGGGTTTTATCTTCATTATTCAGTTTAGTTCACTCAGTTTTGTATCATATTGCAACTTCCACCCATCATAACCTCCAGTCAACCTTCAATTGCTGCATGCTTCAAGCAGACTAAACAAGTCGTTAGCACCCCAAGTTCCTTTGATAGTGTCTTTGTACGTGAGCTCAGTCTCAACGTGGTTTCTATTTTGTGGAAGTGAATGTCTCAGTGGGCTCCACTCTAGTGTTTCTTTTTCTCCTCCCTTTATTCTTTTCTTGTCTCTTTGATCATTTCTCCCCCTTCCCTTTTGTCGTTACAAAAGCTGTGTTGTGATGGGGTGACCTGGATGTTTGGGGTCTTCAGGTGTTCCGCGATACGGCTGCGTTGAGATTTTGGTTAATATCGGTCACATTCTTAACTTTTAACATGCGCAAAAAAGCATGACAAGATGGCCACGAGATGGTCTGCTATCACGGATATTGTTGGCACAGTGAAAACCTGTCGACCCTGATGTCAGGAAGTGCCCTTTGTAGAGTTAGAAGGAATATGTAATCGTTTCATCTGTCAAGCGGCATTATCACATAAGTTATATCCGTGTGTTGTCACATTATCAAATTGCTTAAATACTTTCATATTGCGTTCATGCCTTATTAAACCATTAATCGTTTAAAATGCTGCACGACAAATACTGTTTTCCATGAAAAACACAAACAAGTAACAGTGGTTGAAGACTTTGTCTGGCCTCATGAATAGCAAAGATTCTTCTCACTTCATTCATCTTCAACCCAAAGAAAGTTCAACTTTTAGAATTTTTTTATTTCCTGGGTGGAGTCACAAGAGAAGATTCATAACACTCGTGATTCTCAGTCACAGCTAGCTACTTCAGCTTAACACCCAGCAAAGCACTAATGTGCACAAACTTTGACCTGCCTGGTATCCACTTATAACTCATAGAAATTATTAATAGAAGCCAAAAAAACAATATTTTGTACTAGCCTGTAAACATTCCTTTGGTAGGCTCCTTTGATTGCCTCGCTTTTGGTTCCACGCTCAAGGGGCGGAAGTTTAACGCTTTACAGTCGGCTCCATAGTGTAGTGGTTAACACATTTGCCAAACATGCAAAAGATGCATGGTTCTAGTCAGGAGGAGATTATCAAAATCCCTTGAAGAGTTGTATCAAAAAGGACAGCTTGGATAGAAATATGAGGATATTGACACTTTGCAAACAAGGTAGCAGCCAAAAGAAACAAAAGAAAGAAGCTAAGCTAACCAGATTTAATGGGCAGGATTTTTTTTTTTTTTTTTTTTTTTTAAATCTTCTCATGTGACCCCACCCAAGAAAGCAAGTATTTCTGTTTTCCAAACCTACAAGTGTGTCTGGAGAGATCGACGCCATGCACTTATCATATCAAAGATCGCCTTTAGATATTCAGTTTTCATGGATTAAATGTAACTGAACTAGCCAGCAGCTCATCAGGTGATCAGGTGCAGCCTCTGTTGTCACTTTCTCAGTAAAACAATTTTTTTTCTCTCACAATTTCAAGAGCAAAGCAAATATAATCAAATTTGGTGATTCACGGGTGAATGTGAGCGTGACCCCCACCCCTTCCACCCCCATTCTTTTAATCATTTAAACTCTACACCATATAAAATCACTCCTAACTCTCTTCCCCCCCACCCCCCCTCCCTACCCTTATTTCCTGCATCTCAACAGCAATCAAAGGCTTCTCGCCTCAGCACAAGATCACTAGCTTCGAAGAGGCCAAGGGCCTGGACCGCATCAACGAGAGGATGCCTCCGCGGCGAGACGCCCTGCCTTCTGACGCCAGCCTCAACTCTCTCAACAAGGCCCTGTCCTCGGAGACCAACGGCACAGATGCCAAGGGGAGCACCAGCAGCGGCAGCAACATCCAGTGAAGGCCCAGCAGCAAGGCGCCACCTTGGCCGACGGGGCTGCCTCGCCCCCCAGCCTCATCGCGACCCGCCACCACAGAAAAGGGGCAGAGGGTGAAGGTGTGGGATGGAGGAGGAGAAGGAGTGATGGAATGTGGAGGGGGGAGGCATCTATGGCTCATAACGGGGGGACATCTCACTTGCTAGTCTTTGGATATGCCTTCAAAATATTAGTTCATAGTCAAATCTGCTAAGTTATTGCCAGGTCACATTTCTGAAGGGTCAGGCCGTAACCGCGCTTGATTCACCTCCACACCACAGTATGTCAGAGAGGGAGAGAACGATGGGGGAGAGAAAGAGAGATCGAGATCTTAAAGGTGATTCAGTTTCTTGTTTTTCTTTTTTTTTTCTTTCTTGAAAGACCCTTGCTCATTTACACCGAAACGGAAAGTCGTTTAACTTCTTACTAACTATCGTACGTTTACAAAAATACAGCACTAAAAAGGACAGAACATGAGATAATGTTTTTAACATATAAGGGTGTACAAACTAAATAAGGACTATTTATTGATAACTTTTTGTTTTGCTACTCTTATAAAATAGCTCTGAAATTAATTAGGCAGTCTTAAAAAAAAAAAAAAGAATGTTGCAATGTTGTGGAAATGCCAAATAATGGAACGTTTTATGGTTTTGTACATATTATGCTTACCTCAGGTTCTTTTGGTGTGTGCTTTGACCTGATTTTTCTGTATAATGGCTAAATAACTCAGTAATGAATACCTATTTTCTTGAGTTTCATAACTGGAATTTACACTTAACCTATCTATCATTTGCAGATATGTTTATTTTTTGTCTCTTTTGGAAGGGGGGAGGGGGGGAGGGTAGATTTATTGTGGCTTGCTGGAAATGAGTGTTATTTTTTTTTTCTCTTTTTAAGTATTGCGAACAAAGTAAAAATAGAGAAACTATATTGTGTAAAAAAGAAAAGGAAAAAAGAATACAATAAAGTGTCTGCCTATGCATGTTTTATAAAAAAAAAATCAAACAAAAGGAAATAGAACATCTGAAAACTTTGGCTGTGGAGGCCTGTTTTGAAATATATTGCGCTTTAGTGAACATATACTGGAAACGTATAACTGCATACTTTCAATTAACACCATGATGCTCTATGCCTTCTTTTTTTGTAATTGAAGCATTTAATTATCTATGATGGATGAGAAATGAAATTTTTAACCTGCGCTTGTAAGTGCACACAGTCCAATTAAGCATGTTTGACAATTCTTGTGAGGTGTGTGGTTACATGTGGAACTCCAAAATGCATGATTAGCTGTTTGTGTCATATAACAGGTGAATCGGTTTTGTTTTGTTTTTGTAAATGTGCCACAGAAAGTGTAATTTGATTATTATTATTATTATTATGACTATTATTTGGACCTCTGCTTTGTATATCAGTTACAGGTTTGATACTGCTCAATACTTTAAGATGAAACGAGGAAAAAACAAACTTAGATCTTTTTTAAGAACTGCTTTAAGTGCCCAAGTAATTCACTACACGACATGAAGCCTTGCTTTTGTAATTTAACTTCAAAACTGTTGGCAGATGAGGCATGCACTTGCAACTATGAAAAGTATTTTATATAACTGTTCAATAAAAATGTGCATGAATTTCAACTTGAAATGAACCTGAATCCCCTGTGTGTGTGGTGAATGTGTGCGTGAGACCGCAGGTCGGCCTGCAAGTCGTCCCGCAGTGGATTTCAAATGCGGTGTGATCAGGTGTGTGTTTTGCAGAGAGATTACAGGAAGCCCACTCATGTTCTGTGTAATTTAAACCTGTGAGGAAACCAAAGACTGTAGAGGTGTGGTATTTAATTTGCAGCTCAGGGTTCAGGAAGGGAAAAGCGCCTGAAAACCGATAGAAGTCATCGTCATATATGGTTTCATATGAGTTCAGTGTGATTCTCCTCTACAGCTCCAGTCAAACACAGCTTGGCTCAAAGCGCTGCAGTATGTAAATAGGAAATTGCTACTTGGCAGTTCCTCAGCAAAGGTGTTTCCTCTTTATCAACCTCAGTGACTTCTTTGATTAAACTCGGGAGGCTAAGCTCAAACATAATGACTGTGCATAATCACACTTGTTTGTGAGAACAGGGATCTGCAGCCTTGTTTCTTTTTTAAATACATGCAACTGCCACTTTATTAGCTACGCCCGAGTTGGACCCTGAGGTGTTGAAAACATTCCTCAGATTGATGTGACAGCATGGCTGCACATCCATGATGCGGCTCTCTGGTTTGCGCCACATCTCAGAGGTGCTCTTCTGGATTGAGATCTGGTGACTGGAGGCCATTCGAGTAGAACGAACTCGCTGTCACGTTCAAAAGAAGTTTGAGATGACCTGAGAAGGAAGCCGTCAAAGGATGGGTGCGCTTTAATTAGTAAGCAACAGGTAGGCTTGTGACTTTTAAACAGTGAGGGAATTGATACAAAGGGGCCCAAAGTCAATATCTCAAACACATTACACCACCAGCAACCTGAACTCCTCATACAAGTCAGGACGGAGCCATGCTTTTATGCTGCTTATGCCAAATTCTGATCCTTACATCCAAATGCAGCATGAGCTCGAGACGACACTTTGCAGTAGCAGTTCTTAGCTGATGGGAGTGATGTTCTGCATACCTTTCTTGTAACAAGTGGTTATATATTGGCAATAGTGCTGCCTTCCTGTCAGCTAGAAGAAGCCTGGTCATTCCCCTCTGACCTCTGGAGTCAACAAGATATCTCCACCCAACTGCTAACTGCATATTTTCTCTTTTTAGGCCACTTTCCTTAAACACTAGAGATGGTTGTGTGGGAAAGTCCCAAACAGCAGTTTCTTAAATACTCATACCAACCAGCCTGCCAAGGACAAACACATTAAATTAAACAAACACTTCAATCACTTTTCTTCCTCATTCTGATGATTGATTTGAAGTCCAGTGAGTCATTGTGAGCATGTCAACAGGTCTAAACGCACTGAGCTGCTGCCACGTGATTGGCTGATTACACATTTGTATTGACGAGGAACTGAATAGGTGTACCGAATGAAGTGATCGGTGTGTGCATGTACATTAGGTTGCAGTTGAAGTTTACATTTAATTTTGGAAATGTCAGGCTTTCTGAAAATGTGTTGGGAAAATATGTTGCAGCTATTTCTATTTTATTGTCAGTGGAAAAAAAAATTTTCTAATTAGTAAAACAAACATTTAAGTCATTCTATATTTTAGCTAAGAAGTCTACTTCTCGTGTGCGTGTCTCAAGTGTCTTTCTTTTGGACCTCCTTTCAGTTATTAAACACAATGTTTAAATGAAAGGAAGTAAACTCTGGCATCCTGTTTTTTGGGAGGGCCCAAAAAACAGCAGTTTGGTTTTATTGGGGGTGGGGGGTGGGGATAGGGTAGGAAACAATATGAGTTGGTTTTTTTTTGTTTTTTTTTAAAAGTTTTTTCAAGTAAAACGTTTCAAGTAAAAACGGGCAGTGTTCAAAAGTGAAGAACTCATTTCGTCTTTGATTATAACCTCACTCTGTATAAAAATCCAAACTCATTTTGTGATGCTTTTGCAAAAAAACAGCTGTCTTGACTTTATGCATCGGTCGATGTGCGAGTGTGTGTTACCACCAACACGCCTGGACAACAGGTTTTGTGAAGACATTGTTTAACAAATAGTGGAGAATGGCTGGCTTCTCAGCAGCTCCTCTGGGCTGTCAGGTCTTTGTCATCAGTTCCAGTCATTATTTACCAATCTGATTCTATCTCTCAGTTGAACTGTGTAGTATGTTAATGGTTTCCAATGGATTAAGGCTTGCAATGTCACCACTATCAAAATTTACCACAGTTACTTCACTTACGCACAGCTCTGGCTCAGTGTAACTACTTTTTTAAAGATCTAATCTCATCTGTTTTGTCCGATTCTGCTCCATTCACTCTCCGTGAGGTCTCTCCAGTCTCCTTCACCCTCGTTAAGTGGTGTCAGAGCAGGAAAAAATAAGCAATGGGAGTTGCCTTTGGGTTCCACCACATTATACAAAACTGACATGATTGTTAAATAGACCCAGAATTGAGCCAAGTGCCTGCCTTGTGTTAGTCTCTACATCCACCCAGTTTACGTCAGGAAGGGAAGCCAGTGTATTTCCTCCCCTTCTCTATCTAAAGGAAGTGCCAAAATAAGCATCAGCAGCGGAGCACCCAGGCTTGGACACCTTTCACACGGGCCACTCGAAGGGAGACGTTTAAGGAGTTCACAGCTGCAGAATCGCCATGAAGTCCGTCAGGGTTTTTGCTGTCCTGCTTCTAGCATCTGCCCATGTCTTCACACAAGGTAGGGCGATCATTCACAATGGCTACAGCTTGATCACATGCTGATAGAAGTCTTCAGCACTCTTTAATAGTTAGCAACAACCTTGTTTCTGTGATTTATAGTAAAACTAAACGTAGTAGGCTTTCTATCAAGATGACCGCCTCCATAGTTGTGTTCTGTTTTGGTTTGAGCACTGGTTAATGGTTCTTCCCTTTAACCCATGCGTTTCCCCCTTGGTGTGTGCAATGATAAAGATCACAGCGATGGTCAAAAGTCACTTACGTTACTTTAAGGACATCCACTCAGACTATTTTTGCTTATCCAAGGGAGATAAACTTGGAGCACATTTTTATGTGATTGTGTTTCTATGCCTCCAAATCTTAACGGAGACCTTCAAACTAACAAGTCTGACAATTTGTTTCTGATTTTTGCGAGTGAACAGATGTTAGATACAAGTCAGAACCTCTGGCATGAAAAGCACCAGAGTGCCACATGGCTACTGACTTGTTTTTTTTTTTTCATTCTGCAGAAACAAAAGAACTTGAAAGCTTGTCTGTGCCGAGCAGATAGGTGATCTAACAGCAGATAGGCAGTGAGAACCAAACCGCCCCCTCTATCACAGAGACAGCAGATTATTGTCCTGAGCCTGACAGATCCCAGGTGACAGCCAATCTTCTTCCAAGGTTTAAGCGGTAAACAAGCTGGAGGAAACGCCCACGCCTGGGCCATTAGAATTATCTGTGTGAGATTTTGTTCCGCGACACATAAGGAAAAGTAATGAAGTGTGGGCCTGGTAGGATCCGAAACTCTCTGATGCTGGCAAATCTTTAGCTTTTGATCTTTAAACTTGCTTGAAATACTTGAGGCTTGACTTGGATTTGTTTACATGATTAAAGGACTGAAAAGGCCACGATGCGTCGCAAACAATTTACACATACTTAACATTTAACTTTACCTCGATTTACTAGCAGGAACTTAAACAACTCTCTGAATGATCCAACATACCGAAGACTCGCCTCGTACTCTTCCTTTAACAACTCAATGACCTGACTTGAGACTTGCCTTAAATACTTTAGAGTTATGTCTGGCAGGGAGACTTGATTTTCCTTCCTGACCAGATTCATGAAAAACAGTCTGATCTTTGTGCGGTCAGAGCAGAAACGTCCTGTTAGCCATCAAGCAGCCGGACTGCAGTGAAATGCACTGAATGAAATCGTGATCGACAGCAGGAAGCTTAACACGGGTCGGGGAGCAACAATTGTATATGTCTGGGACAGGATGCAGCTTCACACTGCTGCGACACTTGGGGCAGAGGATATCCACCTCGACATGCCGTAATCTCCTTCTCTATCTAGACTTTTCACCCCCTGTCTGACATGTTTGACCCTCGGTCGTCTCAGAAGCTGGCCTTTAAAGTAGCGCCAAACAGCCACGACGCAGGATGGCGGTCAGAGCTTGTAAAGCAAGCCTGTGACTCAGTGAGCAAAACTGGGCATAAATATCTTTACAGTTTCAACCAAGGATACACAAGTAATAACTTACTGTAATAACAAAAAGGAAATATTAACCATTTCCTTTCTCAGTTGAGTATTTTTAAAAAGGTTTGTGCACATTGGAAAAGAACAGCAACATGTCACTTAAGTTTTGTGACTTGTAACGATGACAAGTGAATTCATTGTTGGCGGCACGGTGTTCAGCAGAGACAAAGAATACCATCGCTTCCGTCACTTCCTCGATCGGAAGTGACGGAAGCGACTTCAGATGGAGCCAAAGAATTCCATTCCCATGAGTAATTATGAGAAATGCAGGGTTACCAAAGCAACCACAACCCAAAATCTTCAATGGAGACCATACAGGTGGACAATATAAGCTGTAGCCACTGCTGCACCACCCGTTGGTCAGTAAAATCCTGCTGTGAAACCTCAAGCTGAGCATTTCTGCTGGAGCCATCTTTCTGTTTCATACCCTGACGTGGCGAGTGAGGGCCTGATCTGATGGTGAAACCAAAGACTGTACATAAAAGATAGACATACCTTCCAGCGGATGCAGAAATACCTTCAATCTGGATCGCAGAGAACAATCCAACCAAAGAAGGCACTCAGGGACGTTACAAGACAGACATGCAGACAAAGATTTTGAGTTTTTAGATGCAATGAGTTCAACAGTGAGCTGGTGTCGGTTGTAGATTTTCTCTGGATAGATAACAAAGTGTGTTAATCTCTCTTGTAACCTCTCCACAATCACATATATCTTTAAATAACCACCAAAAGACTTTTATGTGGATCTAATCAAATCATTTTCCTTAACTTCCTTCATGATTTCTTCATACCACACAGAAAATG